CCTGGAACTAAACGCTATTTCTGACATTTTGAAAATGTTTGAGTTCATGGAAATTTATGATTTTTTTTTTGTCTATTTTAATATGGTGTGCTGGAGGTCAAACAAAGATTTATTATGTTTCCACAATGCTGTAAACATTTGTATAATAAATAAATGCAAACATTTCCTTTAATGAAAGCTTGCGTCACAGCCATAGAGGTCAGAGGTCAGAGCCTGCAGCAGGTTTCAGCGCGGCGCCGGGCAGGTGGCTGATGTAAACAAAGCGGTGGGCGTGTCTCAGGCCGTGGAGGCCAAAGGGGAAAAAGGAAGATAGTTGATGAGAACAGAGGATTCAGAGAAGGATGGAGCGAATCGTTTGCTTTCATTACTAATGAGGAAGGATTGTCTGCATGTTTGCTTTGGAAGGAGAAGCTATCAAATAATAAAAAGATTAATTAGGAAAGGCTTTTCCAGGGACGGCTAAATCTGCAGGACCCCACCAGGTGGGAGGGAGAGAAAAAGAGTACAATCGCAAACTTCTGGATAAATTAGAGATCATCACCTCACCTCATGCTGCCGTGTGACATTTGTTTCAGGATCGACCTTTAATCATGAATGATTATTTTATATTTAAGGCTACGTAGTCATTTTTTATAGCGGGCTAACACACTTAGAGCTACTCTCAGAGAAGACTTTCACATTTTTGCGGCTCCAGACGGATTTATTTTTTGTTTTTTTCATCCAAAGTGGCTCTTTGAGCAGTTTGAGTTTCCGCGTCGCTACCCGATCCGTCCTGCACAAACAGATATACATCCAGGCTTTCATAAATAATGTAATTATGGTTTAAAAATTACTTATTTCTATCCTTTACTCTCTAAATAATGCTAAAACACATCTTTATAAAATGTTTTATGACTTTTCTGAGACAATTTTGATGTTTTTCCATTTTCTCCGTTTAACAGCTTCTCTGATGTCATTATGGGACACAATCAGAGTTGTAAATCTCATTAAACCACGTGTATCTGCATTCTAGTTGTTTCTTTATTTAGATTATGCACTATATAGCATAATGTTAACATGAAAGGAAAGCATAAAACTCAAAAAGACGAGATTTATGTTTAAATCCACAGCTGATAAAGTTAGCTCCTGGACGTAGCGTAGCATCCCATTTCCTGTGCAGATCAGGAGCAGAGGGATAAAACAGAAATGATTTTAAGGCTTTATGTTCTCAGGAAATACATTATTAACCTTTAACACGTTATAGTTTAGTACATTTACTATTTTGGGGGAGGAAAAAACATCATTTAGGTCTTTTTTTTTTTAATAAAAATCGAGGGCAACTGGGATGAATATCTGGAGGCGCAGATGAGCTGATGATGCAGGACGGATCGGGTAGCGACACGGCTAACCTCTGCTCTATATGAGGCGGTAAAGTTAATAGAGAAAAGAATTCAGTTAGCATAGAGCTGCAATAACTAAACAGGCCAGCAGGAGGCAGATGGGCTCAGCAGAGGTGAGGAAGGGTTATGATCAGCCGTGAATGAAGGATGTCTGTAGAAAGACGTCTTTCTCTGCATCAGAGAAACACCCACCATCATCATCATCATCCAGCGTCTAACCGAGCCCCCCCCCCCTTCCTCTCTTCTCTAGTTGTTTGTCAAGTCAAACCAGGGAGAGGAGGAGACGACAAAGATCAACTACCTGACGTTCATCGGCACCCCGGTTCAGGCCACTAACATGAACGACTTCAAGAGGGTAAGGAAGCGCCGCCGCCGCCGGCCCGTCATCCAGGCGTTTGGAGCGTCTGCCTCATCAGTCACCTGTTCCCCCTGCAGGTCGTCGGGAAGAAAGGCGAGAGTCACTGAGCAGCAGAACCCAGTCCAGGGAGGATGAGGAGAAGAGGAAGAGGCTGCGGGAGGAAACCATCCGCAGCGACCGCCATCTTCCCTCCTGCTGCGGCGTTCAGACCTCATTTATATTGTAACTCTGTTGAAATCGCTGTAAATAAAATCCAACCCTTTTTCAAAGGCACCATCTTTCAGGTGGCTTGATTCAGAGCAGCAGACCTAAAATGCTTTTAACACCTTTAATAAATAATAGAATTACATCGATTATGTCTTAAAAAAGATATAAAGAAGTGAGAAATAATTTAATCATTCCTCTCCTTCCTATAAAATAAAGATTAACAACTTGTTCTGATATAAATACGATAAAAATGATCCATTAAAAGTGAATCTTCTCAGTTTAATGAGATAAATCAGAATATTTAAAAGGTTATAGATTTCAGACTAGATGGAAGTTTGATGCTGATTCATTTCTTTTTTTATTAACTTTGATGTTTGAGTCTCAGTGAATAAAAACCTTGTTTAGCTTCAGATAAAATGTGAAAATGTCATCTGAGCCTTAAAACAAGGTTTCACTTGGGGGGGGGGGGGGTCCTTATTCTCCGCTTTCCTTGGCTGATCTCTATCAATTCCCATCTAAACATCAATATTTGTACTAAAATATTCTTTCTGTGATGATTTATGGACATTAAGATCTAAAGAGAGGCGCCATCTGCTGGTCAGATGCTGTAATTCAGTAAAGGGATAAAGTCGGAGTAAAATAATGTGCAAGAGGGCTGGAAGTTGAAGGGGATTCTGCTGGGAGTTGCAGGGAAGTCGGCTGCCATTCAGCTGGTGTGTTACTGGGAGGGGCCATTTTAAATGGCTGCTGCTGCATGATGCCCAAGTTGCTGAGATGAGGTAAACTTTGACCTTTCTTCATGGCGTAGAGCAGAGAAACTGTTCTGAGTGGTTAATAATGTATCGCTAAGCGTTCTCTCCTGTTGTATTTTTACACAATGGAGGCTTCAAATCGCGGATCGTTTTCTTCCTCCAGCGTTTAACTGGTCCTGATGGGACTGAAAGCCCCTTCCAGGATACCGAGGAGATCCTAAAGGCGTGAGCTGCAGCTGGAGGCAGAGCGTCACAATCCTCAACACTAGAGATCCAGAACATCTAGAACTGGCACGGTTCTGTGGGGGTCAAGTTCTGAGGGATTTGGAAATCCGTTCTGTTCGTGGAAAGTTTAGTTGAAGGAAAAACTGCTGAAAAGACGAAGCAGCGGCTAGAAAAACTGAAGCCTTGAGAGGATTTTTAAGCAAAGTCATCCAAGAATTTAAGCTTCACAATGAAGGCGAATACGACCGATTCGGACAAACGTACTCAGCGATATTCGAGTAAAAGTTTTGGGGAAAAAAAGGAGTATTTCCAAAAAAGTTAAAATCAATCCACTGAACTTTGTTCCAAAGATTGAAGACGTTTCTCTTCCCATCCAGGAAGATGATTCAATTCAAAATGTCTTTTTTGGAATGAATATAACCTTGATGACTTAGAATCTTCTCCAGCATTAAACCTTAAGGAGTATTTTTACTGCACTGCTCGTCTGGCTTTAACTTTGGTAATATTGTTGTGAAGTATCACTAATTTTCCTTCAGTAAAAATCTGGTTACTTTTCTACACAGTTACAGGAAACAGCAGCTTCTATCAGTGGAGGTTCTATAATCTGTTCTGACATATAAACAGTTCTCAGGGTCAGGTTTGGCTTTATGTTTTATGGAGAAGGGAAAACAGATCAAGCATGAAGTAGTTATTTTATTATTAGATTTTTTGTATTTTATATGTATTGTAGAACTCTTTGTTCTGTCAGAGCTGACAGTTTCCTGAATCTGTCCCCAAACTAGAAAACCAACCAGGATTCATGGAGATGTGGCTGCAGAGCTGCAGAAGTCCTGCTCCCATAAAGATCTCACAGCTGCTCAGTCATTTTATGCTCCTTTGGATTGAAAACATCAATATTTAGAAATAATAATAATAAAAAAAAAGGTTTTTGATTTGTTTTTGAGAACATTTCCAACATTAGAGCCTGGTGCTCTGTATCTACAACTAAATAGTAAAATTTTACCCACATATTCCAACTGTTATACATTCTTATAAACTAATAAATCATCATTTGGTCCTTATTGCTCGGTAATCAGCCCTGTTCTGCTTGAGCAGCGTTCGTTCCTCCTTAGTTACAATCATGGAGTCTAAACTAATTACAGACACTTTGGTTAAACAGTAACATGTTATAAACCTGAGAAAGAATGTCTGCTCTACAAACCTCCTCATGCAGGGGAATTATGAGGCCTTACAGGAGAAACAGGCTGAGTGGAAACTTTTATAGTGACTAAATAGGATAAATTAATATATAAAATAAGAGAAACTAAATGTTCTGACTACAGGTGATAATTTTGAATGTTTCTTTAATGACCTCTGGCTGTGGACAGCAGAGGGCGCTGTAGTTCAGCGGTTTTTATTTTCCTTTTTTTTTTTACTTAGCACATGTTGAGAAAAAGAAAACAAATGATTAAAATATCTGAAATCATATCTTGGATTGTTGGATTAGAGCTGGAATCTCTGAATTATTGGAAAACATTTAGTTCCTCCCTCCTCTTTCTGTCAAAGTCCACTGATCTCTGTTTATTCCCTGATTAGTAGAACAGGTTAAAGTGAAGCCACCAGCAGCCATATTGGTACTCCCTAGTTAGACCAGGCTCAGTGTAAACAATCTGTGCTCTGCAGCATCGAACAGCGAGGATGTTCTCACTTTCAGGGACTGAAGACTTTTAAAATAAAGATAAATTCATCACTTTGACACAGACCCGCTGTTTCATAGCATCAGTAGATTACTTTGACTAGGCCCATTACATTGCAGAGTCATTATGAAGTCTATAAATCATGTAATATAACATATTATACAAATTAATCACAATAAAATTAATGTGTTAATGGAGCAGAATAATACAGATGAGCCAAAAGTGATAAATTGATGATGTAATAAACATGGATTTTATTACATTGTTATAGGTATTACATATTACATGTCTGCTAATGCATGTTATATATATATATATATATATATATATATATATATATATATATATATGGATTTAGATATGCATATATATGGATGTTGATATGCATATATATATCTATTAATATATAGATAGATATAAATGGATTTATTGCTTAGTTCATCCACTGACTGGGAAATGACCAGTGGAACGTCTTCCTGAGGCCAGAAACCTGCTGGTTTTAGCATCCAGATGCTGCACAGGGAGGCATTCTGACGGTGCGTCTCCGTGGGAGTGGGGAGTACCAAGATGGCGGACTGTGGATTCACTTTTTTCAAGAGACTCTCCTGTTTTCTTTTAATAAAAAAAAAAAAAAGAATTAATCATAATCTCTGTCCCTTATTTGTCTCATTTCTATGCTGAAGTTCTTTCCAGGCGGTGTAGAATCTATAGCAGGTAGTTCTACGCATCAATACATCAGAAGTTTTCTGAAAGTTAAAGGTTCTTTAAAATTAGACCGAAATTATCTAATATTAGAATATCTTATTTGTATTTTTGAGTACTCATGTACTTTCAATAGAGAGTTTTTCTCTGTAGTAGATGTTTGACTGAGTAACTTTTATTTGCAGTAATTTTACTGCAGTAGTACTATTGAGTACTTCACCCCCCGCTGCTGCTGCCACATAGATCCAAACAGGAAGTGGAAGTGTAGCTGTGACCTAAGCAGAGAAGCGTCTCCTGCCTGTTTGGGCCTGTTTTCAGTCCTGGGGACTCGCTCTGTAAAGGAGGAACCAACCAGTTCCTGTTTGCAGCGTTTCTTCTCCTCTCTGATCCTCAGACCTTCATTAAACCTCATTCCAGTCTGCAGGTTGGGCCTCGCTGATGCCTGGAGAGCTTCAGATTCCTGCAGCGGTTTTCCTTTCACAGATACTGAGATCTGGTTTCCTGTTAAGAACCGATGCAGGTTGAATGGCAGCGGTTTCTGCCGACCTTCAGCAGAACTTTGAGGAACCCAAACAGCAGCGTGGAGGTCGTCCCTCTGCTGGTTTATTGTTTCCTCACACAAAGAGAAAACCTGAGAGCCATCAGGCCTCCCCTCCCTCCACACCGCTTGTTTACCCTCCTCTTGGTTTCTGTCCTTCTTGTTTTCTTTGTTTCACTTCTGAATCTGAGGAGCCCAGCGATGCCAGTCAGTCCTGTAAACTGGTTCCAGCTGGAGTCCAGTCTCCATGTTTTAATGGAGCGCTGCAGGAGGGGAGTGTTGCTGTGGATCCAGGTCTGACCGGTTATTTCAGACCTCTCAGTAATGAGTTCATCTCTGCCAGGCGCAGCCCTCCAGTCTGACTCGGAGCCAAACTGGTTTGTGACACGAATGCAGCTCTGAGCTGACAGGACCTGCAGGGTTTCTGGGCCTGACAGGACCTGCAGGATCAGCGCAGGGAGGACAGTTTGATAGGAGGAGGAAGAAACCGTCCTAACGCACAAACAGCGTAACCAAAACACGTCTGAAACAAAGATTCTCGATACTGTGCGGCGTCACAACATCTGATAAAGAAAAGCAAACACCCCTCAGACCAGTTAATACATTATCATCTATGAGAACAAACTGGAGATATGAGACTGAATCAGAGTCCAACTCATTTAAACTTTAAATCTCAACCTTTAAACTGCAGGACAGAAGGTAAGAAAAATGTCTGGTTGGTGCGTTTGATCCCCGTTAGATTTATGGAGGAGGTGTTACTGCAGCGCAGCAGCTACAGATTATTCCATTAATCCAACTGTTCTTTTTTTAATCAGTCAAAAAGTACTTTAGAGTAAATTTATAAAAATTTCAAAAAGAGGTTTGAGGAAAATAACATTTGTTTCCTTTTATCATTTATATTATTGATTATATATTACTAAATATCTACTAGAACTAAAATCAGATCAACGAATCCAAGTTTAAATTCTGCTTCTTTTCTGTGAATCTGCCCTAAAATAAAGGAAAGATTAAATGTTGTAGAATATATGACTTTATTATCTTTGTATAAAACAATATTTATTCAGTTAACTTTTATTTATAGAGAACTTTACAAACAAAAGGGCAGAATGGGTTCATTTTTAAAATAGGCTTAAAAACTGACCAAAAAGATTCAAACGCCTAAAAAAAAAACTAAAACAGGAAGAAAAATCAAAGGAGATTAAAATGTTCTGACTGATCAGATCAGACTGATTGATCGGTCAGAATCAATCCGATCTGATCGATCCGTTATGACCGATCAGCTCTGACCGATCAGTCAGAGCCGATCGGTCAGAATCGATCGGTTCTGATCGATCTTGCACCGTTTGAACAGTGTTTTTTCAGATCCTTTATCATCCCGTTTCCTCTCTAACAATCTGAATAATGTTCTGATGAAAGAATCGCTGCTTCAGCCTCAATTTTTGAGCTGAAAAACTCAAATAAGAATCAAAGTGTTCAGATCAGACCCGCGGAGGCCGATCAGATCCAGACCTGCGGAGGCCGATCAGATCCAGACCCGCGGAGGCCGATCAGATCCAGCTGGGATCTAAAACCGATGAGATTTATGTTTGAGTAAAGCGGCGATGGACGATGATCTGGAGACTTTCACCATCTGGGCCACCGTCCGCGGCCTCTGAGCCGAGGAGGCCGACGACAGGTGATGGCGCCGGCGCTGCTTTGGCGGCTTCCACTCGGGCTCGCTGCTCCCCGCCTCCTCGACCAGCGCGGCTTTAGGCGGCGCCCCGAGCAGCTGCAGGATGTCCGGCGATCTGTCGCTCAGGTACTGCCAGGGCTTCTTCCCCGCCATGTCCCTCAGCTTCACGTTGGCGCCGAACTTCTTCACCAGTAAGCGGATAATGTTCTTGTGGCCGTGGATGGCGGCGATGTGGAGCGGGGTCTGACCGCCCATGGACTTGGCGTCGATGTCGAAGGTCAGGCCTTTCTGCTCCACTCCGTACCTGAAACCAAGAGCAGAGCAGCTGAAGCTTCCGGTCCGGCTGACCCAAATATCCACACAACAGGGAACCGGTGATGGATCAGTACCATCGCCGTCGGATGTCAGGATGCCGCCGCTCCTCCCTGAATCTTTAAAGGACATTTATTGCTTTATAGATGCTGCATAGAAAGTTTTTTATATTTGTTCTTTCTCTGCTTCTACCACAGATGATACATTTTGGGTCTATTCAGAACCAGAGATGGAAAATCCAATCCCAGAATGCACCGCCATGTTTTCCTCCATCCTGGTCACATTAACAGTCTCTGCTGCAGACCTGGACCTGATCTCTGTACAGATGTTTTACTTCCTGGACCTGGATTGCTATGGAAACGGGTCCATCAAGGTGACAGGAGACAGCGAAGGCTGCCTGATATAACCAACTGGAAGTCGTTTTGAAAAGGGGAGCTGTGAAAATTTGTTTTTTTTTTGGACAAATCCAATCATGCTAGGTTGGGTTGCAGGTGCTGCGGCTGGGCCTACCTGTGCAGCTGCCATCAGAGGCGGGCAGACAGTCCCCTGACTCCGTCTGCTCTCCGTTGTCGTGGATTTTTTCCCCCCAAAAACCTAAAATGTGTTTCTGTGCCGTTTTTTGTCATTAGACTATGTAAATTTACTTGTCTGCTGCCACGAGCGGGATACCTCTTCGGTAACCATTAAGCTTGCGTGACGTTGCCATGGCAATGTAACTTCAGTGAACTTGCATTGATTAGGCCTCAAAATAATTTAATTAAAGTCGTAGGAAGCGGCTGTTCCAACCGTTTCATTTCCGAATTCTTCCAGTGGTGCCCGACTTTACACGAGTGAATAAAGTGAATGTGATTGGTCGATTATCAAGGGGGCGGGATTGTTGTGGCAGAAGGTTCGCAAGCAAGTTTGGTTGTGGCCGGTTTGTGGGAAGCATCTTGCTAACCAGTTAGCATCTTAGTGCTAGCAGGTTCCCAAAGGAGGACGATGACTGACAGCTTAGGCACCTGGAGAGAAATGTTTCCAAATGTTGCATTCAGGAATCGTAGGAAATTAAAGAACAACCTGGAAATAATCCATGGAGCTGAATTGGGACCATAAAGTTTGTTCAAAAAATGTTTTTTTAATAAAAAAGAATTATTTGAAACTGAAAAGAAAATTGAAAACTGGAAAAAAAAGATTTTAAAATGAAAAAAAAAACTAGATATTTTTTTCTATTTGAAAGAGCTGTGGGGGCGGGGCTTAGATGACGGGAATATTTTGTCCAGGCGTTAGTCAGTCATCAATTCACTCCACAGGTAATTTAAGCCCCGCCCCCACCGTCGTTTAAAACAGAAAAAAAATTAATAATTAGTTAATTATAATTATTAAAATTTTGTTTTCAGACTGACTGGATGGTCTGGTTGAACTGGAAAGTGCCTTGACGTGTGTTGTGAATTAGCGGTATAGAAATAAACTGAATTTAATTTAATATTTCAGTTCAAAATATTATTTTGCTTCTCAAAGAACTTTTTTCAGTAAAAAAAAAAAAAAAAAAAAGTTTAGATTTCTTTTCCAAAATAATTTTTCGAAACTTTATGGCCCTTATTTAGCTCCATATATCATCATATGGGTCTAAAAGCAGCCAAACCTGTCAGAGATCAAATTTAGAAGATAAAAAATAATCCTCTCAGCTGAAAGTTTCTGTTTTCCTTCTGATTTAGAATTAAACATCATTTCCTGCAGTCCAGTTCTTCTCCTGCTTTGCGTAATCCCAAACATCACCTGTGCGTCTCAGAGCTCCAGAGAGCAGCTTACCACAGGGTGTTGAGGACTCGGTGGTCGCCATGTTTGGCGATCCAGTGCAGCACGGTGAAGCCGGAGATGAAGTCCTGCTTGTTGAGCAGCGAGGCGTCGTCTCTGAACAGCGTGTAGATGTCGGGCCAGGCGCCCGCCGCGCCCTTCACCATCCAGGCGTGCTCGTTGGCATCCAGAGGAAGCGGCGACTGTGGACCAGAAAAAAAAAAACGTCAGACAGAAACACGGTTTGAGAGCTTTCCAAACATCCTATAGGATTTTGGCTTCTGCTTCCTGATAGGCCACCTTCCCAGCAGAGCCCGCCTCCTGCAGTCTGACATCTCTAAGATCTGTTCCTCTGACTCCAGATCTAAACCATCTGGAAGAAGTCAGAGGGAGTCCTCCCTCACCTCCATTTTTGTTCTGTTCTTTTTGTGCAGTAGTAACAGTGCCGCAGCATGATGCTGTCACCGCCGTGCATGACCTTTGCATCACCCAAACTAAAAAATCTCATCCTGCAAAAAACATCCATTGTGAAGAAATGACACAAATGAGACATTTCAAATTCAAGCCCACCTCTCCAGCATAGTGAAGGTTCCTCTTGACTTCCTTCCTCCCCTCTACCTCCATCTTGGCCACAGGGCTGGGACAGCGAGGCGGCGTAGCGCAGGACGACAGCGACGAGGATGACAGGTGGTGGGGAAGGCTCAGCGACGAGGAGATCCGCTGCAGGCGCTGCAGTCTGGCGGCCTCGATCTCTGAGCAGGGTTTCTCCAGGTGGAGATGGTCCAGGTCGGTTCCCAAGCTCTGACAATTGCGGTTCCTGAGCCGGCTGCTCATCTGCCGAGCCGCGGATGGGCGGAGCTTCACATGTGGGGAGTTGATGGAGCCTTCGCTGGACTCTGCATCGTCATACAGATCAGCTGCAGGATGGAGGAAACTTTCAATTCTTTATTTACTACAGATATAAAGAACATTCTTTTAGTTTTTATCTTAGAATGAAAACAAATATTGACTTAAAATTTTAAAATCAGGAAAACTTTTTTAAATCCAAACATCTGCTGATCTGGGCTGCAGCACCGAGGCTGCAAACCTATTGTTGTCATGGAAACATCAGCGCGTTAAGAACATGCAGTGTGGCTTCAGAGTCTGACGACATCGACAACGTTAGCCAAGATGTTCCGGATCGTTTGTTGAGAAGGACCGCCTCTTTTTCTGAGGCTGGAGATCCGGAAATCACTCTGGAAGAACTTCAAGAAGAACCCGGAACCCTAAAGGTCCTCCATAGCTGAGCAGAGGTAACCTAACCGGCTCCGTAGAGAGGAAGCCTGAAGTCAACCTTCTTCTCCTGAGGTGGGGGCATCTTCTCTCGGATGGAGCGTCTCTGGGTCAGAACCAGGATCCGGATCACTAATCCAGATTTTTCTAATAAAAACTGATCAGGAATGAATTCAGATCAACAGAATAAAGTCCAGAAGTTTTACACAAACTTCAGCAGATGTGAACTGATCTATGATCAAAGGAAGAAGACGCCCCCTTTGCTCTGCTAAAATACAGGACAGACACCTGAAACTCACAACAAACTGAAAACTAAAGCGCCATCACTTCTAGAACATTAGCAGCAGATGGCCGCTCACACTGAGCCTGGTTCTGCTGGAGGTTTCTTCCTGTTCAAAGGGAGTTTTTCCTCTCCACTGTCGCTACAAGCATGCTTAGTGTGAGGGATTGCTGAAGAGTCAATGAGTCGATGCAATCAGCTGGTTTTCCTTAGATAGAAAACTTTGAATCAATCTGACTGGATGATCTGGTTGAACTGGAAAGTGACCTGAGATGACATGATGTGAATTGGAGCTATAGAAATAGACTGAATAGAATTGAATTACCACAGGCGTCCAAAGTATTCATGTTTATTCCTCCAATATAAATCCTGCTGTTTAAAAACACTTATATAGAAGTTAGAGGATCAACTTCAACTTTTCACTCCAGTAAAAGTGTAAAAGTATCATTTTTAAAACGACTTAAAGTATAAAAGTAAAAGTAAAGCAGGAAAAACTGTTAATGCCAGAAGCTTTACTGCTCTACTCTGTTAAAGGAACATTTTTCTACCATTCTGGATGATAAATTCCTTATACTTCATTTACTTAGTTTTATAACTAATAACTTTGCATCATCTTAAAAACCTATTTATTTTGGTATGTGGTGAGCAACTAGTTGGGGCAGCACCAAGTCCAACCACAGAGAAATGAATTGTCTGGATGAAACTAATTATTTTTACGTTTTTTATTCATTTTTAAATACCGAGAGGCCATAAATGAACTAAAATAAAACAAAACTAACGAGTTCATTTATGTAATGTAAGGAGTAGAAAGTAAAAAGTCTAAAAAATAATGAGTCCAGTAAAGTACAGATAGCCAACATTTCTGCTTCAGTAAGCTAATAAAGTATTTGTACTTTACGTGACTACTCTACAGATTATCCACTAATGTACCGGGTCTTATATACCTGCTTTGAAACCACAGTTTAAAGCTAAAATGTTGTAAAACAAACAAAAAAAAAAACTATTGTAACCAACAGCATTGATGCAAAATGTTTGACATGCATCCATTTGAGCGATGAATGAGGAAATAATTGAAGCCGTGATGTTTAACTGAACCCAAAATGAGCTAGAATCACCGCGTCCAACCAGGAAGCTAAAGCTGTAAAACCTCTCAGACAAATTAACAAATGCAACATATGTTGAAAGGGATTGAAATGAAGAAACGGGACGCCTCTGAACAGAAGCCTGAGATTTTCCTGAAATTTACGGACGTCTAAAAGTCTAAAACGATGATCCACTATTTACATCTGATATGGATCCGACTCTCCAGCCTTTTCTTCTGGAGGCTGAACACTGGATCATTTCTCACGTCTTTGTTATCTTTTTTATTTGCTTGTTTAACAGTAAAATAAATAAAAAATATTTTTACGTAAAACAGCCAAGAACCAAACGAATCACCTTCGAGGCAGAGCTACAGCTGGCAGAACGACCCAGAAGACCATGGTAGAGCGGATTTTAGATCTCACCTGAGGACAGGTGGACGGGCTTCCCTCTGAGTGGGAACTGCCGGTCGTCATGGAAACGGTGGTCATGGAGATGGTCGGTGGAGTGGTACAGCTGTGACAGCTCTCCCAAAGGTGGCTGTTCATCGTAGAGATTGCCCATAGACTGATGGAGCGGTGTCCTCCCATAAATACGAGGAGCCAGACCGTCCGGCTTTGTCCCGCTGGACTCCTGAAGGACCTCCTGGGATTTCCACACCGCTGCAGGTCCATCTGCCAAAGGAAACAGACAGAGAGATATATTCTAAAGCTAATGGCTAGAGACGACCTTCATAACAGATCCAGAACCCTTCTCAACCAAGCCAGGAGATGTTCTGAAGGTCCAGACAAAGAAGTGACTCTTACCTCCTCTAGAGCTGCTGGTCCAAGATGGAGAGCAGTCGCCGAGGGACGACCTCCCGTCAGAAGGAGGGTTGGAGACGCTGGAGTACGGCGGGGTCCGGCTCAGACCGGGCCCTGGTTCTGAGACCCGAGCAGGATGCTTGGCAGGATGGTGTTCAGACTGCAACGCTTGAAAGTGGCCCTCTACGTCTGAGGGCAGACTGCGTCTCATAGACTCCACAGGTCCTGGTTCCAGTCTGGGCCGGACCTCTGAGGGGGCCTGAGGGGCCAAGATCTCTGAGTCCTGGATGTAAATCTGAGGAACCTTCCTCCCTGAAGAGGAGGTGGGGGGAGTAGGGACCTCAGTGATGCAGGGTGAGGAGGCAGAAAGGGCCCTCCCCGCATCCCCAAGCGGGCCGCTCAGAGGCCAAGGTCCTCCTGCTGAGGCCCGTCGAGTTGGGGCCTCCTCCTCGTCTTCCTCCTCGTAATCTTCATCTTGAGAGATGGCGGTTTTGTAGCTCGGGCGGTGTCTGAAGCGGCGGGTCCGAGTCGTATGGGGCAGAGGAGGCTGATCCTCCTTTTGACCAACTGGTTTCAGGTCAGGGTCTGTCGAAGTGACCTGCTGTCCAACAGGTTCAGGATTCTGAGGGACCTGATGTTCTCTTACGGGTTCTGGAATCTGAGGGACCTGGTGTTTTCTGACGGGTTCTGGATTCTGGGGGACCTGGGGTTTTCTGACGGGTTCTGGATTCTGGGGGACCTGGGGTTTTCTGACG